AATGTGTCTGTGAAGTTTCAGCTCAAAATACCCCACAGATAATTTATTATATCATTTTGAAAATGTCTGTTTTGAGTGGAAGCAGAAATGCACAGTTTTTGTGCATGTCTCTTTAAATGCAAATGAGCTGCTGCTCCCCGCCCCTTTTCCAGAATAGGACTGTGCCTTTATAGCTCGTTCCACAGATACTCTGCTAAAAAACGTCTGTTTGGTTTTGATTATCATGTCTATCGTGCTGAAATCATGCGTTTTAACCATACTAGTTTAAACTTCTGATATAGGGTTTTCTGAGCACATACATCTGAAGCACGCGCACAGAAAGCGGCTGTCACATGGCATGTGATTACTAAACTCTTCTTCTCTTTCATGTCTTATTGCACTTAAACTGTCAAATACACACAAGTTTATGTTAAAAACACACGAGTTACAAAAACTGTTGATTATGTCTGTGAAGGTAAGTTACTGGGTTGTTCTTTTTCATGTTTTCTGGCTTGAAAACGTGGCACCGGGAACTCGATTATAGCACTTAAACTTGGAAAAAGTCAGATTTGAAAAAAAAGTGAAAAAGCATAATAGGACCCCTTTAAGTCACCTTACCTCACTTCCTTTTGCCAAGGCAAATCCTCCGCCCAGGAGCAGCACTATGTTCCAGGGCATACGTTCATTTACCACCTTCCAGTTTAGAAGAGTAGGAGTGCCTTTCAGTTTCTTCTTCTTGTCATTCTTCTGTTTTTCTCCTTTATAAAACAGATAGTCCAGTAGATCTGGTTTAAGACCTGGTTTAAACTTATGGCACAATGTTCTGTTCAATTACTCTGAATGCAGAGGCACCTTACCTTCCTCCACTTCTTCAGCTTCTTCATCACGTTCATCATTAGCACTGGCTAAACATGAACAGTTTAGCTGAGATGGAATGACGAAGAACAGGGTTGACATGAAAATGGCCACAGTGCCATCGGTGACGTATCTTTGCGGAGAAAAATAGAAAATATAAAGAAATTAAAATGCAAAGAACATAACTTTTTTTTTTTTTATGTGACCAATTGCTTAAAGTTTTTGGGTGAAGTTTACTCACTGTCCATTTTTGTTAAAGAGCTCAGTAGCCCAGCCTGGCATGAACCCTGGTTCTCGTGTGAACCATAGGATCACCAGGATCACAAAGATGACAAGCACAGCACCCTCAGCAAAAGACATCGTTCCCAGCTTCTTGTATTCATTCTTCATCACTCTGTAAGCGTCTTTGTCACCCTCATTTTTTGAACCGCAGCCAAAAGTTTTTTTAAAGCTGAGAAACAAAATCACCTCAAATTGAAATAATCTAACTAGTAGTAACACTTTATGTCCTAGACACACACTCTAATTTAATGTAAAGCGTGCAAGTTACTTACTTAAAGCCCATGTACATGAACTGCAGCCAAAGCCAAGAGAGTGCAAGCATCAGCACCATGTTAGGAAAGGCAAAACCGAACCAGCTGGCAAAGTTGATAACGTCATTGTTCTCTGGAAAAATGCTGCAAAAATGTGCAAAAATATGTGTGAGAAGAGACCTGACCAGCACACACACACACACACAAATATAACAGGACACTTGACAGACGTACTCATCCATCTGGCCCTTGAGAATAAGATTTGGTGTGGTGCCTGTTAGGGTGGCTGTTCCTCCAATGCTGGCAGAGTAACACACAGATAGACTCATTCCTTTAAAGAGACAAAGGTACTTTGCTTCCCGTTCTCTCCTCCTGCGTTCAGAGAGTGCATTGATTCCTGCCTCCATGTCTGGGTTGTCTGTCAAGATATAAAGCAGGTGGGATGTAAGTTTTAAGACTGTGCTTTAGGCTATTACCACTGATTCTGATTGGTCAGTATTGGCAACGTTCAGTCCACACTCTCAGTGAATCTCATTTATCGATTGTAGTCAAAATTAACTTTTTGAAGCGCCAAATCAACTGAAACAATTGCTTCATTCTTTGAATGAATCAACAAAATGATTCTTTCTTTGGAAACCTTTGAACGCCGGCGGCTGTTTATCAAAACGGCAATGAGAACACAGCCCAAATGCAAAGACACTTCACAAACCAGTTGCAGATGTTTTCATGAAAGTGTAATATACATATGATAATGATATAATAATTAAATAAAAACTGAGCCTATATTATAAAACTGGCCTGAGATCAGTTAAACCCATATATTAGTTTACTGGTTCATTGGTTTACCAGATCAACACCTTCTTGTTGCAAAACGGAATATAGAAATGCTTCAATACCTGATTTACTGAAATCACGTGATTTGTGAATTCGAAGCTTTATGAGATATTTAAGACAGTATAGACCTAAATCATTTTAAATGCCATATGCCCTTGTGAAATTAACCATGGTTTTACTACAAGTAAAACCAAAATACAATGGTTAAACCATGGTAACCACAAATTAACCATGGTTTTGCTACACTAACCATAGTTTAACCATGTTATTTGTGGTATACAAATAGTAATCAATACGCCAAAAAAACCATGGTTACTACACTTTTACTATAATAAAACCAATAAACCATTGTTAATTTTCGCAATTGAATTTAAAATAAACAAGGCTGTGAAGGAAAAGTTACACTCTTTACAATGTCGTGCACTGTATAAAGGTCCTAGATCATGTAATTTTCACAACTCAACTCTATTATGGTGTTTTGTCTACTGAAAACTACGTTTTGTCAGTTGAGTAATCGGTATGTTGTTAAACAACAGCACAATCCATTGAATGCGCTGTACTTCTATTACTACCTCATTTTCATTCCTGTCATCAATTATTCAATTCAATAATTTCAATTCAGTGTCTACAAATGTGTTTAATTTTTTTTGCTGAGCAGCAGAATAATAATAATAAGTGTCAACATGTCAGACTTACTGTTGGGTTTGTCTCCAGTGACATTGTCTAAAGCTTGTTTGATGTTGACCTCGGCCAACTCAAACGCATGGTTATCTCGGCCTTCCCTCAGCTCTTTCTCGTCAGAGTCTGCCTCTGTGGCGCTGAGCTGTTCAAGAACAGCTTGAGAAATGGGCAGCATCATGGCTGTGGTGGCCGTGTTGCTGATCCACATGGAGAGGAATGCTGTTACGATCATGAACCCCATCATCAGCCTGCAGAAGTTAACAGACAGAAAAAACAGGTGAGTGTGAAACAGAAATAAAGTAGGCTATAAGTTTTCAATGTGTGTGGTCTTACAAAGCAGGCCGAACTCCAACTATTAGGAGGACACTGAGAGCGATGCGCTTATGGAGATTCCAGTGTTCAACAGCTATAGCCACCAGCAGACCACCAATAAACAGCATGTTGGTGTCCTTTAGGTACTCAACACACACCTGAAAGACAAAGAAACAGTTACATATTTGGCTCTGCTCAATATGGTTTCAGTTTACAATGCAATACTAGCCTGCTGTTCACAGTCTGCACTACAGAGCCATCAAAATAACATGGTAATGGGAAAAATTATATTTCAATCTTTTTTTCTCTCTCGCAAAACTTTTTGTTCAGTCGCAAAACGTTTGTGCTGCAAATAATATGTGACCCTGGACCACAAAACCAGTCTTAAGGCGCTGGGGTATATTTGTAGCAATAGCCAAAAATACATTGTATGGATAAAAATGATAGATTTTTCTTTTATGCCAAAAATCATTAGGATATTAAGTAAAGATCATGTTCCATGAAGATATTTTGTAAATTTCCTACCATAAATATATCAAAACTTAATTGTTGATTAGTAATATGCATTGCTAAGGACTTCATTTGGACAACTTTAAAGGCGATTTTCTCAATATTTAGATTTTTTTGCACCCTCAGATTCCAGATTTTCAAATAGTTGTATCTCGGCCAAATATTGTCCGATCCTAACAAACCATACATCAATGGAAAGCTTATTTATATGTATAAATCTCAATTTCGGGAAAAATGGACCCTTATGACTGGTTTTGTGGTCCAGGGTCACATATGAGGAAAACTATTTTATTGTTTTTGCAACTTTTTCAAAAGAACGCAGAAGATTTCCGAGTGAATGCAAGGCTTCTCTGCGACACGCAACACTTTAGCAAGGAAATGCTAATGTTTTGCTAGTGGATGCAAATTTCTTGGGAGAACGCAACACTTTTTCAAGAGTACGCAAAAGATTTACGATTAAACGCAAAGTTTCTCAGGGGCGCGCAAGACTTTAGCTAGAAACTTGGAAGATTTCCGAGTGAATTTCTTGGGGGAACACAACACTTTTTCGAGAGAAGGCAAAAGTTTTGCAAGTGAATCCAAAAGCATTTTTTCTTTCCATCTCATATTTTGTTTCCATCACCGTGTCCGGGGCTCTGTCGTATACTGTATACAGCCTACTGTTTTTCCAAATTGTATATGAAAATGCATTATGCAATGGTAAACATTTAAGTAGTATATAGTTAACCTCTCCGAAATAACATTGGTCATTTTGCATTTTTTTTGTGTAAAAATGTGTTGGCAATCTGAGAAAAACAGTCAAGATCGTTCAAGTTGAGAGCATTGCATTGTAGGATATGGTAAACAGTGCAGTTATGGTTACTATGGTTGTATTTCCTTATTGACAGGCTCATTAGCCTGAATATCTAAAATCAATCAGTCCTCTTTAAAGATAGAAAGATAAGGAATATAAAATACAGAGTACAGTCTGTTTGATGACATGTTCCAAGGTGTTCATAAAAACTGCTTTTATGGTCCATAAAGTTCTTGAATCATTAGAGATAATGCTTATACAAATAGATTTCATGCTGATGAAGGAAAATCTCTCAAGCAATGTAATCAGTTGTTATTTCAAAGTAATTTTCTGTGTCTTTAGTGCTTGTGACGATGATAATATAATTGATCTTCTTTTATGATAACTTATATACATATTTATTTTAAACGATTGCTATATCAGTAGTTTGCTTGTACATTATGTTTAGGTATATAATGATGCAAAATGCTAATTATGGATTTTTTTTGTAAGATACCTTTCCAGACTCCATGATGCCCATCATTGGGAATAGGATGACCGGCAGCAGGGCAGTGACGGCCAGCGGCATGCACTCTGTGCACCAGTACAGCGCCATCAGGATGATGGCAAAACCACATCTTGCCTCCTGAAGAGCAGAAGTGTCACAAGGTAAGTGATCTTGACAATACATCACCTATTCGAGTAGCAGTGGCACACATTTCTATAAAAGAGAATTATTGGATGTGAATGAGATGCATAACACATCAATGATGCAATCTCAGTTCTACGGCGATACTTTCATTTTAGGGGAAGAAAAGGTGATTTTCGATTCTATTACATCTGGTGAAGGTACCAGGGGTCACTACAGTATGTCTTGAAGATGTATTTAGACTCACATATCGCTCTCAGAATGCTGATAAAAGTAACCCTTGACCATAAACGACTATAAACCATTTTTAATGCATTTTCTTTTATGGGTGGGTTTATTTTATGGAGGAATTGTATCAGTAGAGAAAAGGCAGTATAATCTCTTTAACCCTGTAAAGTCTGACATATAAAATATAGTAAAAAAAAATCATTTTTTTTTTTAACATTTAACAGTCTATATAATTTTTTTTTTTTTAAGATATTGAAAAAATTGCATGTGTGTAAATGCATAAGCATTTATGGTACATGCAATGTGATGTAATGATGTAATGAGAATATGGAGCTCACACGGTTTTATTAAAATGCTTATACCTAATTTTATTGAAGGCCCAAACTGAGCTAAAATATGCAATTTGATGCATATGGCCAAAAAATAAGATGACATTCGCATAATTTGTAAAGTAAATCAATGTTTCGATCTTTATAGCAGTACAGTATTGCAGTTTCCTCACATAAAAGGCATATAAATATCAGTCATCACTCTATATCTCCCAATTTTATGACTTTGTAAGATATTTACAGTAAGTGCCTAGTTTGTAGTAGCGGGCAAAACATATGATGTTTCATATTTTAATCATATTTGATTAGATACAATTTAAAAATTTTTCCCCCTTAAATATGATGTTTGAATAATCAACTAAACCTAAGTTGCTTCAATCCAGTAAGTGTTCATTACTAAAAATGTCAATGTTATTCTTACGTTTACTTTATAAAAATCTGTAAAGGTTTCACAGCAAAACACATGTACAACGACCTGAAGGTGAGCACTTGCTAAAAAAGTATAAACATGTATAGTACAAGACTGTGTAGAACAGGGTTTTCACCAAAATTGTGATCATGTTGGTAATTTAGAGGCACAATTTTGTAAATCACATATGACACAGACTTTACAGAGTTAAACTTTCCAATACCTTCTGGTTTTATGTATGAAAAATACATAAAAATACATATAACGGAATTCTATTTTGTATAAGGGCTTTTAAAAATATAAAAAATAAAGCGCATTCAATAGTTTAGCCACTTGGGGTTCTTAAATGTCTGATTGTTCCTTTTTATTAAGAATGTAATGTCAATATTTGAGTTAAATATCCAGTTTTGTTCAATATTTTTTCAGCTGAAGCTCTCTAGGTCAGAGTAACCTGGTCTCCAGGTCTTGAGTAACTTTGGGCCATATGACTTTATTTTCTCTGTTTGTGACTTGAAGATGACCTCTACAAGCTGTGTAAATAGAGTATCCAGCGTTCCGCAGTTCATAAATAAGAATTTTTCCAGCCATCATTCAGCTGCTCACGAGGCAAATTTTTTTAAATATGCGGTAACACTTTATTTTGATGGTCCCTTTTGAACATTCTGTTGACAATAAGTAATGTTGCAGCTACATGTTAGCTAACTCTCATTAGAGTATTAGTAAACTGTCTGCTTCATATCTGCTAACTCTTTATTGTGATGGTCTCCCAGCAGACATTCTACTGACTATAAGTAACACGTCAGCTTATTCTAACCCAACCCTACCGGTCTACTAATACTCTACTAACACTCTAATGAGAGTAAGTAGACATGTAGGTGCAACGTTACTTAGAGTCAACAGAATGTGTTAAAGAGACCATCAAAATAAAGTGAAACCAAATATGCAGATGTCACTTTCATATTTCAGGCTTGCTAAATTTTCATTAAAAGTTTTGCTTAAGATGTTCATGTCAAGGGCTTTGCAGAAGATTTTCACAAAATACTTCTGCTCCAGCAGAAAAGCACTTACCGGAGTTGGGATGACCAGCGGTAGAGGCAATATAATAAAGGGGGTGATGAAGATGATGAAGTAGTTTCTGTTAACCCACAGCCAGCGTAGAACCGGTGTCATGTCTTCTGGCCCTCAGCTGCAGATGTCAGGTGTGTGTTGGATGAAGAGGACAGCAAAGTGCTGATGGCGTGAATGCAGCAAAGGAGGTCGTGCCTGATCAATGTGTTTATAGGTATCGTCACATAAGGATAATTAAACATTAACTGTGTGAACAAGGGGAGGGTAAATAGGGGTATGAAGGAGGGGAGGGTAAAAGAGATGGGAAACAAAAAAAGATTAACCCTTTTGTTATCTTTTTCTAAGGCCACAATTCATTGTATTGTTGGAGCACTGACTAATGGATTTATCATCATGGAAGAGCAGGTGTCACCCTGATAAGTGTCTCTTTTACACCAGAAACATGTAAAGAATGTTTCCTACTGCTCACTTTTGGAAAAATGTGGGAAAAGTGTGGGAATATATGAATAGAATTGTCTTTGAGCTGCACTGCCCTATGAGTTGTTTGGAAAATGAGTTTTTTTAAACAAAAAAGAAACAAAAAGATTTAATAGTAACACTTTACAGGTTAATTTAGTTAACATTGGTTAATTAATTAGGTATCATGAAATATTTTTTTTTACAGTGTTTGTTATTCTAGGTTACTGTTCATTTATAAATAAGCTTTTATTTACTATTGTTAATTCATATGTTCATTAATAATACATTTGTGTTCATTTATACGAATGTTAAAAAAATGTGTTGGTCACCTGTATATAGAAATTAACATTAACCAAGACTAATAATGCTATAAAAATGAATGTTAGCGCATTAAACCTTATTCGAAAGTGTTATGGTTATAACACTTATTAATATAACACTCACTAAATTTATGTAATGAGTTATTTAATGAATTTAATGTCAATGGAATCCAAAGAATTTTCTCCAGCATTTCCTGCTGGATTCCCAAAACTAGCTGTTATTGATTACAGTAAAAAGCAGGATGTAGATTGATGGTCAAAAAACAAATGTCACAAATTCCCGCAAGGGAGACACCTGATTTTAGTTCTTGTGAAAACGTTCTTTGAATTCAGAAGAAAATGTAAAGACATGCATAAACACTTCGGTGTTATCTTGTTTAACACACACACGCTACCGTTCAAAAGCTTGGGGTCAGTATACGGGTTTAAATGAATACTTTAGCATTAAATCGATTGAAAGTAAAGAATTATATTTTAAATAAATGCTGCTCTTTTGAACTTTGTATTCATCAAAGAATTTCAAGGGAAAAATACAAAATGTTTCTACAAAATATTAAGCAGCCAGATTCTTTCTTTCTTTCTTTCTTTCTTTCTTTCTTTCTTTCTTTCTTTCTTTCCTTCCTTTTGTCCCTTTCGTTTTTGCTTTGTTTTCTTTCATTGCATAGAAAATGCTTTCTGCCTTTACCGTTTGACTTTTACAGTTCTATAACGTCACTTTGAAAATGTCATAGTTTTATATAGCCTTGTGCAAGAGCAATATGGCTTTTATTTTACTTTTGACAAAAAAAGATAAAGGTTAATGAATGTTTCATACAAAATCCAGTCTTTTCATAAAACCCAAATTCATGCATAAGAATGATGTGCTGAGCAGGATTACTGTAATAAATTCAGATTAGTGAGGAACAGATCAGCCAAGCATGTGATACACCTGATAATCTTCGGTTCGGTACAAACTGTGACCTTACAGCTTTATCAACATTAATTAGTAACCTTTACAGACTTTGAACTCTCCGCTTGTAATTATTAAGGACATACTTTGGAAATTAAATCAAGTACTACCAGTTGTTCATCTTTGAAGCCTATTGACCAGTACTATGAAAAGTCTCTTTCATCTATTATGGCTGTAAATATGTGCTAAAGGTCCAACATATATATTTATTCAAAGCTTTGTTCTTCTTTTACCATCTATAGAGTCTGTTCCTTAGAGATAAAGCCCCTTGTGTGTTACATAATCTCACTTACACAACCTTTGGAGTGTATGTACTGCGGTATATAAGGACAGCTTTCAATGAAACCCTTAACTTTTCCTAAATATTTAATAATAGTTTCAAAGCTCAAGTATGATATTATATGTAATTCATGCAAATGTTACTGTCAGTTTCTTCTTCGTTGTCTATAGGTATCCTTGTCTAGGCGCTGAGAATATATACTGCTCTCATTTTACAAGGCCCTAATAACAGTAGCTTTATGGAGTTGTTCTGCATGATTATAGATGATCTTCTTTAGTACATTGAGCTTTGATGCTAGAACTTGGCTGCGGCAGGACTCTGTAGTCATCTTTATGGCTGTCTAACAGACAGTCGATTGGGAAATAATCTCAAGGTCATGAACTATTGTTTCTGAGTGCATGCACCTCCCTAACCTAAAAACTAACCAGTTGTATTTTTTTTTTGTTGAGGAATTTAATATTTCTACACGCTCTGGGTAGTAATTCATATCAGAGACAGCTGGTCTGTCACAGTGTGTTCTCATCAAACAAAGGTCAGGGCTCTCCCAAGGTATTCTTATTACCAATATTACATGACATATCAATTACTCAATTGGACTTTAATTTGGCAGTGGCTGTATGGATTAAGATAATCGAGATAATACTTTAAATGAGGAACTTCTTTGTTCCTGAATTTGGACTTTTATCTCTTTTAAATGATCCACTTATGGATTTGGACCTCAGTAAAGGACAAAGTCCTTTCATTTTACATTATCATCCAATTTACACAACGCAATTTGTGCTATTTCTGAATAACAACGTCTGGCAGGACATCAAGTTATGGCCTAAAAGGAAAGATCAAGGAACAAGAGTGATACGAGTTATCTGAGATTCCAGTTTACTCCAGTACAAATTAGTAATTATTTACTGAAATATCTAACAACTTAATCGGAATAATAAAAATGAACAATTTTGTTGTTTTAAGCTACTTTAAGATACGCTTAAAGTCACATTACTATAGACAAGGTAACATTTCAGTTTATAGCCACTAAAATCAAATAATAATAAGGAAAGGGATAATAGGACAATAGGACATAATAGGAATAATGTTGATCTTATCCTAGTTTATTTATAGGCCTATCTGTCAGTCTGTCTTTTCTAGAATCTGGTCTACAAAAAGTGCAACACATACTGTAAATACAACATTTAAAGAAAAAAATTCAGATTTATATATATTCTGTCTGCTCTTTCTTTTGATGAAATAGTAGCAAAACAAAAATATTTACAATAGAAATTCTGCATAATCATCTTTAGTTCCAAGATGCATGAAATTGTTTTCTCCCAGCCATTTCTGTTTCTCCTGATCCATTATTTTTCAGTTTAAATAGTTTGCAAATAGATTTAAGAAAATATGTCATCACACTCTAAAAAATGCTGGGTTAAATATAACCCAGCGCTGGGTTAAAAGGAGTACATTTAGACTATTGTTTTGCATTATTTGCATTTCTGTAATGTTATGTTTAAATATGCAAATGAGGCATTATCTAATTAAATCGGCACTAATTTCTGAGCTTTTTGCAGAGTACGTTTTTAATACAAAATCAGAAAATACTGTTTTACTATACTGAACAGCCAGGAAAAAAAACCACCATATTTTTAGAAATTAAATGTTAGATAAGTCAGGAGAATGATATGTGAAACGCGTATTGCATATATGTATACCAATATAGGCCTACAGTTGATAGGAATAAAACTGGTGTATGTTAGTATTACTGAAGTGGAGATTTCTGGCTCAGTGCTTGAGAAAAAAAAAACGAATTTTGACAAAGTGGCCTTTAAAGATATGTATTTGAACTATAATCTACAGGCACAAATATAATGTTTAATAAAATAATCACTTAAATCTGTTTTTTCAAATGTTTTCTTTCCACTAGTCTAAGAGAAGACATGCTATGAAAGCAAAATAGCCCAAAATCTCAAAATTTGTTGTCTTGCTTAAAAGTAAATTGACAGGAGATTTTCAAACAAATCTTATATTTTGGTTATAAACAAATTTAACACAGCAAGTATAAATAATAGAAATAGATATAAAATGTTGAAAAATACATAACACCCAAGACTGACATCCACAAAAGAAATGGATTCTCTACGTTAAGTGACACAGGATAAATGTATGCTTTCATTGCTAAATTAAAAAGTAAAAGTTTTAGAACAAACACAAACTAGACTGTTATAGAGTATCAGTACAGTAATGCAGCGCAAGCACAATAAAATAAAGAATTAAAAAAAGAGAAAGATTCAACAACAGAAATGATTGTGATATAATACATTTATAGTGTAGAGCAGCTAATGGAGTTATAGTGCTATTACCAAAGCCACTACAAGGCAAGCCTGCAACCTTTAGCCAAAAAAGCATAACGGCTAATGCTAAGTGAAAGTAGACCAGAGGCCATTTTGAATGGATGTCAATGAAGGAGAGGCTTCACTATGCTGAATACAATTTAAGACAGCTTATCATTGAATGAATCGACAGCCTGTCTGCTAACCTTCAACATGTTTTACACTAAGCAATACTTTTGGATTGAACTATTTTTAGAGTGTACCACGAAATAAATGCTGTTTTATAAGAGAAGTCACTGACTTTTTGCGACAGGTGGGATTCAGCTTACGGCACTTCTCATTCATTCCTATGGTATCCGTAAACGGCGACTGAGTGTCGCACAACTCTGACTGAAATACAATGACGTCAAGACTGTAATGTGATTGGTTATTAAAGCACACGTGATCCAAGTTAGCCATTATGCTTTCTCCAGTAGTAAGTAATACAGACCCTCTCATCTCCCAATAGTAAGACAATCTCTACTATTACCTCAAAATGATTTCAGCACCTTGGTCAGCACACCTGTCATATGACTCTGAACAGCCTTTTTCACATCTTTTGACGCAAATACCTCTGTAGTGGGGTTGAAGGCTTTGCTCAAACAGAGATTAGCTCAAGGCTTTTATTTATAAATGTTTGAAATAATAATCTAATTTGTCTCATGACAATGTTAAAGACTGAACAGCATTACAAACACAGTGAGTTGAGCTGCTCAGACAGTGAAATCAATAGTAGCCAGCTCAATAGTAGTTCAATAGTTTATATAGGCCACTGACACAGTCCCACTTATTATAGTTAAATACACTATTACCCACCTTTTCAGATCTATTTGGTTACATCCTTGTTAAACGTTCTTAACTTTAAATAAATTAAAAG